CGCCGTAACTGCGCTTTTAAACGCTTTACTTATAATCGCGCTTTCCTTTGCTTTCGCGACCTTTACTTCGGCGTCGCCTTCTAGGAGTATTAATATTTCCCTCTTCTTCTTCTTCTTCCTCTTTTCTTTATATATACCTCTACTACTACTACTACTACTACTACTACTAATACCGCAAGTCCTTCCCCTTCCTCCTTAGTTCCCTTCGTAAAATTAACTTGTCCTAGATAGCTCGTCGAATTTACTACGTTAGTTGCTATAACTCCGGCGAAGACTGCGCCGACTAATTTATAAGGTCCCGGTCCGATTCGTCGCAGGATCTACTAACTTTTCTTAAGCCCGCTAGCTCTAGGGCTTACGCTAATTGCGCTCGTAAGAGAATTGCCTACGCCCTACTATAAGTTATCGCGATTCCCGTATTAAATCTCTCGCTAACTATTTAGTCCTTAAATAGCCTACGTAGCCTACGCTAGCTATACCCGCGCGACCCGCGCTAATGTCGCTAAGAAGTACTCCGAGCTTCTTAAGGTTCTTAAGGCTTAGAAAGCCCTTAAGTCTCTCTAGCCGTAGGGGTTATTATCTAGGTAAGATTCTCCGTTTCCCGCGACAAAACCCTCGCTAACCGTTTGTTTTAGCGCTGTCGCCTCGGAGGTAACGAACACCGTCGCTAATGTCGTAGCTTAATAGACTTAGACGTAAGTTCCTCGCTACCCTTCGACTTTCTCTCGCTAACCTTTCTTTTTTAGTAGCGTTCCGACCGCCCTCTGTCTTAGTAATAATCGTCTAGATCCGCTAGAGGAGTAAAGGTTTCCGTAGGTTTTCTAGGGGTTTCTAGGTGGTTTCGGATATGTTATTATTATTTTTTTTTATAGTCCTAAGGTAACCTTCTAATTTCGGGCGGAGACCCGACACTTACTTATAAATACCTAAATGAAATTCTTCTCGGCTCTAAATTATATTTCTCTTCTCTAGTGTTCTAGTAATTCTAAGTCTAGTAAGTTAGTAAGAAAATCCAAACTCTAGAAGTTAGCAAAAGTCCCTAGAATCTATAAACCCGTTACTCCGCGGAAAAACTCTAGGTTGCCGCGTTATTTCTTCTATTTTCCTCTCTTCTCCTAATCTCCTAGAGGCCCGTCGTTCTCCTCGATTTGTCTATATTTCGCTTCGAAGTTGTCTAGCGCGGAGGTATCCGCGATATAGTCTAGGGGTTCCTACGTAGGTTTATAGTACCCGTTCTATTTTACGAGTGCTTCTCGCCCTCGGCCTCGCTTCTTTTTTCGGGCGTATAGGATTTCTTCGACCTGCTATTCTTTATACGTCTCGATTAAGATAGGGTCCGGCTATTCGTCGTCGGTTACCTGCCCTAGAAGGGGGTCCCGGCTCGCAAGTCTTAGAAGGTCGGTATAGAATACTAGGTAAATGTTGCTAGGTATCCCCGAGAGTCGTACTAAGATAGGCGATAACACCTCTTCTACCGTATACTTAGCGTGCTTCGAGTCGAGGCTCTTCTTTAGTCTACCGGTCTAGTAATTCCTTAGGTCGAGCTAGACCTTGTCTCCGATACGATATACCGGCGCTAGAGTTCTAGTCTTGTTCGCGCTGTCCTCTTACTTCTATACGGCCTCCGCTATTTATACTTAGTATAGATCTAAGATCTTCTTAATCTTATTTACGAACTCCTCCGCCTGTTTCGCGGTAGTTAGCCGTCTATCGATAGCTAGGTCCTCTTCTAACGCAACGGGGGAGGTAGATTTGTAACCGTAAGTCGCGAAGAAAGAGCTTATTCCTAACCCCGCTTAGTGTCTCCCGTTAAACGCTAGTTCTACCGTAGGAAGCTATTAGTTCCAATCGGACTGTATCTAGTTAATATAGTTCCGTAGGTAAGCTTATATATCTTAGTTTACGCGCTCCGGACCCCCGTCGGTTTGTAGGTAGTAGGCGGAGCTTAACCTCTACTTTACGCCGAGTAGTCGATATATCTCCCTCTAGAAAGTGCTTGTCTAATTCGTACCTCTATCGCTAGTAATAGTACGAGGAAGTCCGTAATACCTAACCTAGTATTTTAGAAACAATACCGCGTATTCCTCTACTTTTATAGAGGGAGTACCGATAAGAGCGATCTATTTGCTAAGGCGGTCTTTAATTACCTATAGATACCGGTTCCTATCTAACTCCGGCAGGTCGGTTATAAAGTCTATCGAGATTTCCTAGAAGAAACGGTCGGGTACCGGTAGGGGTTTTAGGAGGCCGTGTTTGTGTTCCCTCTATACCTTATTACGTCTATAATAGTTGCAGTTCTATAGGAATTGCCGTACCTGCTTCGACTATAGCGGCTAGTAAAAGTCGCGACCTAGTATAGAAGTAGTAGAATCCCGGCCGGGGTAGCCGTAGAGCGGCGAGTCGTAGATCGACTAGATAATCTTCGTACGTAGTATATCCTACTATAGTTCCTCGGCCTCTATATCTTTATATTCGGTTTCCGTCGTCGCTAGGGCTCCTAGAACCTAGAGCTTACCGTAGTAGCGAAGGAACCCCTTAGGGTCTATTATATAATCCCCGATCTAAATTTTTGCTTTAATTTCTAGTTGCAATATTCTATATCCCTTACGGATTTTCCGTACTACCGTCTAGTATACCGTATCTTTCTCGATAATGCTCTTTTATATATCGTTTATCTCTAGGTCCTAGAATAGTTTAGCGCTTTCCGGCGAAGGCTACGCGGGCTCCGTTTCGTTTACGAGTAGGGATAACGGGCTCGCCTTCGTTATACGCGGGAAGCTACGGATAGTAGTACTAGAAATCTAGACGTTTTCCGGCTAGTTTAGAGAGAGGTCCGGCTCTAAGAATCTCCGGAACCTCGAAAGCTTATCGTCTTAGCCTAACGTATCTTATTCCCTCCTCGATAAGGTATCCGGTAGGATAGCTTCGATTCCCGGCCGGTAGACTAGGATAAACTAGTATTTCGCTAGTTCTTCCTACTATCGGATCTGTCTTTCGGATAGCTAGCGCTTTACTATAAAGTATTCTAGGTTCTTATAGTCCGTCTAAATCGTAAAGGGACTATATAATTTTAGCTCGGAGTCCTAAAACTTAATACTAGACACGACTACGAGCATTTCCTTATCGTAGATATCGTAATTGATCTCCGCCTTATTTAGTTTCTTCGAAAAGAAGCCTACCGGTCGGCGGATTCCCGCCTTTTCTTAGATAAGAGCGCCCCTAATCGCGAACCCGCTACAATCCGTCTTAAGGAAGGTAGGGAGAGACGGGTCCTACTAGGTAAGTACCGGGGCGCGGTAGAATTTATCCTTTAGCGTCTCGAACGCTTTGTCCTATTCTTTTCCCTAGGCGAACGGGGTTCCCTTGCCGGTAAGCGCAGTTAATAGTGCGGAGATCTTAGAATAGTTCGGTACGAATATGCGGTAGTAGTTCGTAAATCTTAAGAAACGACGAACTTCCTTTTAGGTCTTAGGTGCTACCTATTTTCGTATAGCTTCTACCTTCTCGGAGTCGGCTAACACTCCTCCTCCGTCGGCGTAAACGATAAATCCTAGGTACTTAATCTTTTTCTAGGCGAATTCGCTCTTTTTAATATCGAGGTAAAGGCCTCCGTCTTAAAGCTTCTTAAGTACCGCTCTTACCTTACGGAAATAGTCTTCCCTCGACCCGCTCGAGTAGATAACTACGTCGTCTATATACGCTAATGCGAAGTCGTCTAGATACTCCTATAGGAGAGTATTAATATACCGTTAAAATATAGCCGGAGCTCCGGACAAACTAAACGAATACACTAGCTACTCGAACGAGCCTAGCCTTGTCCGGAAGGCCGTCTTATACTCGTATCCTTTTACTATTCTAATCTTATAGAAGGCCGAGACTACGTTAATCTTAGTTAACTACCGGGCCTCTATTAGGTTCCTTATAGTATCCGGGATTAGTAGGAGGGGGTATCTATCCTACTTCGTTAGAGCGTTAAGCGCCCTATAGTCGTAGTAGAACCGTAGTCCTCCCCCGGGCTTCTTAACGAATAGTACGGGCGCCGCCGCTTTAGAGTTCGCCGGTTTTATAAACCCCTTCTTTAGTAGCTCGTCTAGCGACTTCCGTAAGACTAAGAGTTCTTGCTTCGATATACTATAGAGCGGACCCTAAGGGAGTTAAGGCTAGGATCCGTCTAGTTTCTCCCGGAGTTCTATCGTATAGTCGATACCGGGACGATAGGGCGCTAACTTATCGGCTTCCCTTTAACAAAACAGCGCGGCTATATCGCGAACCTCCGGGGGTAGCTTCTTCTTTAGCTCCTCGATCGTCGGGTATTCCTTCGTCTTTAGGGCCTTTTTAATATCCTCGGCAATTGTCGTAGCAAGTAGGCTTCTTACGGCGTTAATCGTAGCGATATTCCCGTTCGTATCGACCTCGCGGTAATAGCGCCCTTCTTTAATCTAATATCGAGCCCTTCCGTAGTAGTACTATCGTTTCTTAGGCGCAGTCCTAACCTTATTATATGCCTTCTATAGGTTCCCTAGGATAAGGGGAAAAGCTAATCCCGGTACGACGTAAGCGTATACTATTTATTAGAATCCGTTAATTTCTATCCGAAAGGCGACGACTCCTACAATTTTCACGTCTTATATTGCCGACGACGCTCCTTTTACTTCTCGGGACTTATAGCTAATATAGCTAAGTCCGAGGCCTTTAGCTAGGCCCGTATTAATTGTAGCGTAATACTAGTATCCTTCGTCGATAAGAGTAGAAGTTCCGACGTTATTTTCGAGGACTATATCGGTATATATAAGATTCCCGTTTATATCCTTTTTAACTTCTTCCTATTTCCTTACCCGTACTCTATCTACTCCCGACTCCTAACTACGAGTAGGAGTTACTCTTTTCCCGAGTTAGAACTGCTTAAGTCCGACTATTCTTCCGCGTCCTCTAGAATAGGTTATACGGAGGCGATACTAATCTTAGTAGGCTAAGCCGGCGGGGCGTACGAGCAATCTCGAATGCGGTGTCCGCTCGCTTTATAGCAGAAGTAGAGCCTTTTCTCCTTACGCTTCTCTCTTTCTATAGAGTCGACCTATTTAGCCCTAGGTTTCCCCGCCGTCGATTGTTAGGCTCTACGGTTCTTTCTACGGGAAGCGTTAGTTTAAGCAGGATTTATAACTACGTCTCTATTAGAGTCGACCTTCGGGTTCGTCGCGGGGGCCGTATAGGGGGGAATAACGACCGTAGGACTCGCTACTTCTTTCTTCCTTTCTTGCTAGCGTTTCGTAGCCTATTTAAACTAATCTGTCGACTCGAGGTTCGTTATAATCCGCTCGACCTCCTCCGTATAGAGATAGTAATCCTTAATCTTTAGTACGGCGGTAGTATAGGTCTTAGCCGCGTTTAAGAAGGTGTTCTTTAAATACCCGATTTTCGTATCGTCTATCTAACGGTCTCCGCCTACGCTTAGTAGGAGGCCGTCGAATTCTAGCTAGTAGTCGTACTAAGGTTATCCCTAGGAGTGCCTTAGGGCTTAGAGTTGCTCTAGCGCCTTTATAGCTTCGTTACTATCCGCGAAGACGTCCTCGAGTTGCTAGAAGAAAGCTTCGGGATCCTTTCCTTTCGTAAGGCTTCCTCTTTCCTAGAAGTAGCGTATCCTAGCGCGTTCCTTTGCCGGTAGGGTATCGTATACAGTGTCCTAGTAGTAATCTTCGGAGAGCTTTAGTTTTAGCCCGGAACGAACTCGGTACGAACTTCTTAGTCGTAGTAGGTAGTCCCGGAACGACTCGGCTTTCCTATCCTACGATAGTAGTTTCTACTCGCGGGACGCCGTTACGTTTTAGCCGGAAGCCGAGAGAGTTTCTAGTAGTCCTTTTAGGATCTCGTTCGTAGACTAGTCTCGAACTAAACTAGCTTCGGGAGGCCCGGGCTAGCGAGACGCTTCCGCGTATTAGAGCGCGGAACGAGTAGCTTATAGCTAGGCTTCTATCGTCTGCTATCTAGTATAGAGACTCTCGAAGGTACGATAGATCTCGTCCCTAGTTATCTCTAGTACGGTAGGGGCAGCGTTCCCCTAGCTATCTTACTCGGGTTCCTAATAAACCTCCGCGTTTCCTATATTAAAGATCGAACCTAATATTACAGGTAAGCAACGCGTACGTAGATGCTAGATGTAAGACTTAATAGGTTCGATAAAGAGCTAAGTCTATCTACGTAAATCCGAATAGTTTTATACGGTGCGCTAAGCGCTAAGTAGTAGGTTAGAGTCGCGTAGGCCGAATGCCTAAGGCTAGCGCTTTCTACCTAGGGCGTAGCCCTTTACAACTACGAGCCTAAGGCACCTTTAATTAAAACTTTAATTAAAGCTTTAAGCCTATTAAGGTTTGATTAAAACTTTAAGGCCGAGTTAAAACTTTAAGCCGCTTAAAAGATTAAGTAGACTAATAGACTAACTAACTAAGGGCAAAACTATAGAGCTAAGCTAGCCAGGGTCGATCTTGCGGATAATAGGTTACTTCTCGATCTATCTAACCCTTTAAGCGAGGCGAACCTCTACTACTATACTTATAATAGCCTTTACCTATAGAAACTAGACGAGCTGTGTTTTTTAAAAGATAAGATAAGATTAACAATTAAAGGCTACTAAACCTAACTAATTAGGGCTAGTAAAACTACGATAGTAAATAATAGCCCTCGTAATAATAAGAGCAACCCTCGGAACGGACAAACCCTCGGAGCGGACATTTCTAGGTCTTTTAGAGTAGACGCAAAGAACTCGGTACGACATTACTTAGAACGGAGGCAGGGCTGCAATACCTCGTACGTCTACCTATTATAGTAGGGAAGACGCGCTCGTATTATAATTAGTCGAAGGCCCTCAATTTTCGTAGCTATATATTACTTTATTATATACAAGGATAGCGTAGTTAGAGTTAGACATTGTATTGTATTAGAGGTAAGGTTTAACATAGTTACATAATCGGTAGTTGCGTATTTAATTTAGCGCGAATCGAGCAGCTTGTTAGACCTGCTAAGTTAGTAGCGATAGAGGTTAGAACAAAGACTAGCTACGAGGGCGCGGCCTTTAGAAGGGAAGCGTATATTAGGACTAAAGAGGTTACACGTAATTAGTATATAACTAGGCTCGAGTAAAGCTAGGGTCTTAATGCCTTAGGTAGGGCTTAGCGCTTAGCGTTAGGCTAACTTACCTATCTTCCTCCCTCTCCTCTTAGCTCTCTATCGAATACTATACTAATTTACTACTACCCTATCTACCTACTAACACAACCCTTTTTATACTCTTAAGAAGTCGTAGTTATATCCTTAAAAGCCTTAGCCCGTAGGGCAAGAAGATCTGCCCTAGTACGAACAGACCCCTAATTGTAAACGCTATACGTACGATAGGACAATTTAATAGGAAGAACGGCGTCCCTCCTAATTATAAGTTCCGCTAGTATAAGTCTAGTCGTGTCGACAATAGTAGTTCGGTCCGCCTAGAGAAGGGCTAGGACGCGGGTAGAAATAGGAACTAATCTGTCGCTACTATTAGTTATCTTAGATAGGGCATTAATTAACGACCGATAGCCGCGCTTAATAATAGCATTCGACTAGAGATAGTACGGGGAGATGCGAACGTTCTTCGCCCTATACGAAACAAGTAGCGCTTAAACCTCCTTAGCTATATTGTTCGTAGCGTTGTCTAAGATAACCTCGTAAGGTGTTCCCTAGCGGTAAAACAGATCCTTAAATAGGAAGGTAGCTATATTACGGGCATTAATAGCACCGTACCCCTTATAGAAATAATAGGCCTCCGGCTATCGAGAAAGACCCTCTCGAATAATATATAGGCTATTATTACGGCTAAGATAGACCCTATCGCTATACTACCGCTCCCTAACTAACTAGATAGTAGGGATACGCAGCTCCCCCGGACGTCGGTAGCTGTTCCTAAAGTTGCACTTAGGACAGCTCTTATAGTAGCGGGAGATATTAGCCTATACGCCGTCCTACTAATAGCGACGACGAAGGATATCGAAGGTGCCCTCCGCCGCCCGGTAGCCGAGCTTATCGTAAACGGAATAAAGGATTTCTTATTAGGCTACTAGATCGTTAATAATACGCTAGAGCGGTATATTAACTATAGCCTATCGCTAAAGGATGCGATCCTTAATAAGGAACCTCCGAGAATAGCGAATAACGCGATAGTATTAACTCTTTAATAGACCGGGAGCTCTCTTCGTATAGGTAAGGAAGTAGGCGATATTATAGGAGGCGTCGGAGTAGACCCTATTAAGGATATTATCCCTACCTAGTTCGCCCGCCTTAGTATCGTCCTAGTCCTCGCCGTTAGTAGCAGGGTCTTCGTTAGGCTAGTTACTAGGTTAGTCGTCGGCAGTAGACCTAGTAATTACCGGCATAGCGTTAATATAGAAGGTAGTAAAGAAGGTGCGGTTAATAACCGCGTCGATATCCTCTTCTTCTATTATCTCGGCGATGTCCTCTTCTATAGTAGGCCTTCTAGAAAGGCTATCCGGTCTAGTATACTTCTTACTAGGAACATAGAAGACGTCGAAATCAAATAAATAGATCTAGGCAACCTACCGAGCTATCGTAGAGTTAGGTAGGTCGGAGGCTATATAGTTAAGTTAATAGACTAGCGTCTAAGCGTCGACTTCTAGGCGAAAGAACACTCTAAAGAGCTAAGGACGGAACTTTTTAAGAGCTTTATAGACACTAAGGCACTCCCGCTTACTAGTATCGTATCGGGCCTCGATTAGTTTCTATAGACCGGACTCGTACCGGATAGGGTAACGTAAGGAGGGCTCCTTACGATTATACTGTATTAGTATCTCGCCGTAACCTTCCCCGCTCGAGTCGATAGCAACAATTAGTAGACCTACGCCTTCCGAGTAGTTAATAGAGGTAAGCGTAGGCGCGCTAACAAGTGCCTTAGTAACCTTGTCCTTAGCGGCTTAGTAAACGGAGGTCTATTCAAACTCTATATCCTTCTTAAGTAAGGCGTATAGAGGCTTGTATACTAACGCAAAGTTTTCGACCTAGATATAGAAGTAGGAGACTACTCTAAGCTAGATCCGGATATCTTTCTAATAGGTAGGGTCGGGCTAGGACATAATCTTTAGGACCTATACATTGTTAGGATAGCGGCCGTTCTTATTAGTAATAAACCCGACAATGTTTATACGCTTATATAGGAGCTAAAGCTTTTCCCTATATACTATTAAGTTAGCCCGCTCTAAGTCGCAGAGGACACTATCGAGGTTCTAGATATATTTAAGAAAGAACCTCCGAATACTAGGTTCTACTTCTTCGTTGTTATACCTAGTTTTAGGCCCTTTAATACCGATATCGTCGAGGAAGGGCATCGTAGTATAAGAAATGTAAGCCGCGAGGACTTAGTTTATAATACGTACGAACTAGGCTACTAAGTTAGTCGCCCCTTAGGGAAGGGTAGTTTGTCGGTACAGTCTAAGAGGCGTTTCGAAACTAGTTAGGTCTCTACTATTAGAGTAGAGAGGTATCTAGTCGTAGCCCGAGAATATATTAACTAGCGAGGCTACTATATAGTTAGCAAAGGCTTCTAAGAACCTATTAGTCTCCGGAGGAAGATTAGTATCTCTAATCGTAACTACGTTAAACTTCTAGGTAGCGTTAATTAGCCGATACTTCTTTAGTTCCCTAGGAGCTGTCTTCTTCTAAACTAGGAAGTATAGATTGCGATACGAGGCATAGGAAGGCTCTAAGGTGCCAGCCTTTATACGCTACTGTATTATGTCCTTAACTATACCTCTTAGGCTTAGGTTTAGCTTAAACCCTAGGTAAGCCTAAGGCTTATACTCGATCGTTCGGATCCTCTATAGAGGGGCAACCTCCGGGTTAATCCTACCTAGATGCGTAAAGTTATATACTAATACGGCTTCGCGGTTGTATAGAAGCTCGTATAGCAAATCCAATTTAAGATCCGAAAGCTCGATGCTAGGTTTAATGTTCGCTAGTCTCTCCGGCGTTAGCCTCGATCCCCTAGGAATAGCGGAGAACTTTTTAGTAATATACCTCTAGTCGTATAGACTATCCCTAGGTATTAATATCGCTTCGCGGTTAAGGCACTTTTGTCGCTAGTTAGGATTTCCGCTAGGATTAGACCTATCGGTTATATATACGCTGCCCTTTACAGGCTTAATCTTGTTAGCTACCCTCTTATATAGGGTATATATACTAACCGCTCGGGATACCCGAGCCCTCTCTCTTTAACGCTAGGCCCGGAGATTAGCGTAACAGAATAGCGCGTAAACTTTATCGGAAGTCTCCTTAAGTCGGTAGGTATATAGCTAGTAATCCTAATTTATAATTCCGGCGAAAACGTTAGATTCCTAATAATATCCCTAGGGTAGTATTCGATCGGCGCTCTAATTAGTTAGTTCGGATTCGGGCTCGGGTAGATCTGCTTCCGGCGGCAATAATTGCAATAGTATTATTACCGAGATTCGTATACTAGGTTATCGTTACCGGGTTGTTATACTCGCTATCGCTTCGAGCATTCGCCTCCTTAGTATAGAGCCTAGAAACTTGCCTTAACGTACGGAGCGGCGCACCTCTAGATATAACCTATTTAAGCTATACTAACTTATAGCGCAGATTGCCGGTCTTATAACCGCGCTATAGCGTTTCCCGAAGAGCGCTTAGAAGTAGTAAGGATATCCTTGTAGGACTTGCAGCTAGTATTGCCGACATAACTAGTAAACACGACTCGGTTACCCTTTTAGTTAGCGATAGTTCCTTCCTAGGAGCTATCGTCGCAGTTGCGCTAGATACCCCGAGTTATACGAGACTATAGACGACCTAGAATAATTAGCGTATTCGGGTTAGCGGCAACCTAGAAGGTAAAGGAAAAGTATATACCGAAAGCGTCTACTATAACATTATAGTAGGCACCTACTAGCGCAACCTCCCTATTTACTCCCTATATACTAAGGGAAATATCTCTGTTTATTAGCAGTCGGAGCTGTTTAGCCTAGCGCTTACTTATAATAAGTGACTCTAAACTATTATTAAGCATTGCTAGCAACTGCTAACTATAGCTTCCGATAGTAACTTAAATATAGATAGCGGGAACGATAGTAAAGGAACGGGTAACTGCGGAAAGGTCTATATTATTAGGGATAGAGTAAAGTTCCTTAGGTCGAGGAGGTCCTACTCGACCGATTTGTTAGCTAGTAAATCGGATAGCCTTAATAGAAACTAAAACTAAAGCAGGGTCGGCATTATTATTATCCCCTCGGCCTATCTCCTTAATCCCCTCTTCGTTAGTATTATCGATAGTCTCCTAGCTCTCGTAGGTTACTAATTCGCCTTCTACTAACTCCTAGGCCCCTAAAAATTTAGGAAGGAACTATAGGGAAGAGACGTCGATATAGTCCTCTCGCCCCTATTTACGTCGGAGGGCTGCAAGGTCTTTTATAAAGGTAGCATCGTTAGGAATCCGGCTCTAGAACAGGTTAGTAGGCAAACCGTATACTAGAAGCTCCCCTATAGACACGTTAGACTTAAGGTCTAGGAACTATAAAGCCTAGAAGAGAGCATTTGCCTTTATATCGTAGGAGTTAGTAGGCCCGGCACTATACTTCTTTATATACCTATTAAAGCGAAAGCTCTTTAGGTCGGCTAACTTTCGTTTGTAGGCTAGCGGGTTAGCTAGGCCTAGGGTACTACTAAGGTCGGTAGTAGCATCCTCTATATCGATATCTAGAGTTTCTAGTACCTCCGGAGTAGCTATACTAGCTCGCGTTATACGGTCTTTAGCTGTCTAGAGTGTCTTAGTCTTAGCGACTAATTCTCGCTATTTCCTAGCTTTATTAGCTGCCTGCTTCTTAAGTATCCTAGTAGGGGCTACCGTACTAGGGCGGGTAGGGTTCTACGGGCTCTTGCCCTTGCTCTAGGACTAGGTTTAGAACGACTAAGTTTAGGACCTTATAGTAGCGTAGACATCTATACTATTCTTAGTAACCGCGTAAACTTTAGTAACTGCGTCCGGGTCCTAAGATACAAAGTTAACTTTAATAGGCTTAGTAGTACTATTACTGCTCCGCTCCTTAACCTGTTTTGCCCTAACCTTCTAAGTTTCTCGTTTAGTAATAGCGGCGAGGGTACTATTCCTAGTATCCTTAAACTCGATCTTACTACTATACTTCTTCTCTAGAAGACTTCTAAGTTAAGGCAGCTTCGGGGCTCTACGATCCTACTCGAAGTTAATCTTATCGCCGGTATTAGTATAGTAGAACCGACTATTTACTTATATAACGAGCTTCCTCTTAAGAAGCTCCTTCTAGATAAGGCAGTCTAATTGAATATATTTGAAACCGCCGTACATCTAGCACTTACTATCCAAGTTAGAATAGATCTTCCGTATAGCGTAGACGTTAACTAAAGGGGCCTTAGGGTAGTTAGGATCGGAAACCTAGTAGACTAGTCGTACATCCCTTAGTATACTAGCATTAATAACCTCCCTAACTCGCTATAGTGCTTTCGCATTAAGGTTGAGCTAGGCTAGGGATTTAGCTAAGTCCGTAACGTCCTAAGAATGCTTAGTAATAGTAGGAGTTACGGTCTTAGGACCGCTCTACGACTTAGGAAGGAACTTAGGTCCTCTACTTCCCGAGGCGTCGCTCTTTACCTAAGCTAGGTTATTCCGGTCCTCGCCGTAAATAAACTTCTTCGCATCGGCGGAGCTGTTAATATCGTCCTTAATAGCCTCTAGGACCTCTTTATACTTCCTAAAGGTCTTAGGATTAGCTTTGCTAAGCTTATAGCGACGGAAGATACGCTTAGCCGTAGACTACGGCAACCCTTTAAGGAGTAGCCTCGTTCTCTAAGAATTCTCGAGGTCCTACTAGTCGATGCCGTCCGCTAACTTAACAAACTCGCGGACGTACTCCTTTAGGTCGTTATCTTCGGTACGCCTCTCTATATAGAGGTTCTTAAGCTACGTACGACTACCTTTAATACGACGGCTATCGCGATCCCGATACTCCCTTATAAAGGCCTACTTAAAGACCTCCTAGTTAGTATTAGACTTGTCGTCCTTTTCTAGGTAGCTAACTAGGGTTCTAAGGGTTCGGTAAAGCTTAGTAATAGTAGTCCTCGTAAGGGACCGGACCTTGTATTAGTCCGACTCCTCTTCGAGTCCGTACTCGGCTAAGTTGTCCTTAAAGCGTTCTACGTGCGCCGTAGCGTTCTACCCTTCGAATAAAGGGTTCCTACTGCTTCCTAGCTCTAGCGGGCGACGCCTATTCTAACGGAGAAGGTTAGTTTACCCTTGAATTATCTTTATAACGACATTATAGAGAGCCTTAGGCGTAGAAGGCTCGATAGCCCCTAGGTCGATAGCGCTTATAATAACTAGTCGTCGCCTAATTTCTTCGTTAATAGGGTCCGGCGGGTTATTAGATTCCGAAGATTCCGCTAATTTATAATGCTCGTTTTCGCTAGAGCTAGAGCTTATTCGATTGTTATAAAGTAGTTAAAATAAAATACTATAGGAAAGTGTTTTTAGTGTATATTGTAGGTTTGGTTTGTTTCGATATTGCTATGCGAGAAAATAGTATACTAGGCTGTTTTCCTCTAATATTACCCCCGGGGTAGCATTAGAGTTTAGCCTCCTAGGGGTCGCCTAGATACCCCTAGGAGCTTTAATTTAGTAATTTTAGACAAAAGCCGCTTATAGGAAGGAACTGCAATCTCTATTTACACCTAGATCCTAGAAACTAGCTACTTTACTAACTATCGTTATCTCCTTTAGCTAGGCGGGGGGCGGGGACCTTCTTTTTCTAGTAGAAGGCTAAGCACTATCCGAACGAGGTAGCGAATCCCGAAACAATCTATCCGGTTAATAGGGGAACTATCTAGGCATCCGACCTGTAATCTAGTAATTACTATTATATAGATAGTCTTAGCAAACTAAGCAAGGCCGATAGGTAATTAGTCTATCTCCTCCTTAGGCGAGGCTTATCTCGAGCAAGCGGTACTAAATAGGTCTTCGACCCGGAGCCGAGTCCTTAGAAGCTAGCTATAGTTATAGACTAGGCCCTAAGCTGTAACAGTCCTAAGGGTTTACAGCTTTTCGGGGTTAAAGCGATGCCCTCGTTAAGAGGTTTCTCTACTTGTCGTAACGGCCCCTTAAGATACTTCGGTATCGTCCGTATTATAGGCTCTTATTGTGCCCTCGCTTCGGTTATAGCTATTCGTGCCTAGAGACTACCTTTAACATACCCGAACCTGTTAGATATAAAGAGATAGCCCTACCTTCGGCTCTAATAATAGACGGAAACCAATACTACTACTACTACTTATAGCAATAGTATAGGTTACCGAGGGTAACATAACCTATAGCAATATAGGCAGCTATGTTTAGTAAGATAGGATAACGAGACTGTCGCTTAGGCTAATAACTAGAGCCCTGCAATATAGGCATTATAGAAGTGTAACATAAACAATGTACTATACGAGGTTGATAATCTGTCTACTCTATAGAAGGAGGCCTCTTATATAGGCTCAAAACTAGCCTATAGGTGTAGGGCCGGTTACTAGCCAATATTAGTAAACTATAACTACCGCTATACTAAATTCGACTGTTTATAAGACTAGTACGCTATACACTATATATAGTATATAGCGTACTACTATAGTAAGTAGAGTGCTTACATGATGCTAAACTCTCTCAGACTTTCCGCACTGCTTCCTCGTGGACCACACATGAATCTCAGTCCCATTCTCGCCAGGAGGTTGGAGTTGTACATTGTGAGGAAAGACGTGCAAGAGGCTGGCGTTTTGGCTGATTTCATGACCAATATCATCGATCTCGACACCTCTACTCTCCCTTCAGTCAACCACCTTGCCGGACTCAACCCCCACCGCTCTTTTCTTCCCTTAATTCTGCAGAATCATCTTCACCATATCCATATAAATAAACTCTCCCGAACTCTCATCCACAACTTTCAACAACTCATCCACCTCATCATCACTCATCTTCTCACCCAAATTCGTGAGAATATACCGGAACTGTCCCACAACGATGAAACCCGTGAGATACTTG